CAGTGCACATTGACCCATAACCAAGCTGAAACAGTCAGGGTCAGATGAATTGATTAAAGTAACAACCCCCTTTTTCAACAGAGCACCCCCAGCAATAAGATTTCGGCTTAATTCTGGAACGTAGAGGCAATTGGCCAGAGTAAACACGGTACCATCTCCAGCACGAAGTTTGACGGAGCCAGTGGAATGCACAGCTAATGAAGTGTTTCCTCCAGCTAGGCGAAGTCGTTTATTGTTGTCCTCCAAAGGTTTCACGGTGGCCGCATCAAAAAGAGATATGTCATTAAACATATGATGAGAGGCGCCTGTGTCGTTTAAAGCCCAAAGTCCTTCGGTAGGGTTCACAGCAGAAGCAGTGGCTTCAATATCAACTAACTCAGAGCCTTGAGCAGATGGAGTTATCACGTCGTCGTCTCGAGTCAAAGTAGGTTGATCAGAGGGAGTTTGGAGAATTTCCTCAGGTACCGGAACTTGAATAAATCCGGAAGATACATCAACAACGGGTAGGTTAATCTCAGCTGACTCGTGATGAGGATTCGGTCGAATTTCAGTAGGTTGAAAATCAATGAAAAAGGTCATGGCATGGTTTGAAGAAGCAAGTGGTGGTCGTACTATCTTGATGCCACGAACATTACTAGAAGAAGTTTCCGTATGATTTGCTTGTGCTTGCTGAAAACTACGACATTTGAAACGTTTCTTGTTCTCATCTTGTTTACTCATCCACTCGTCTCGTTTGGCAAAATTTGCTGGCTGCTTGAAACACTGCTCCGGTTTTTGAGGGTTTTGGAACGTGTTCCCAACACAGCGATCGATGGTGCATTTGGTCAAGTGACTGGGGTTGGCTTGATAATGTGAGACATGTTGAGATGACTGATTAGAGGTGTGGTGAGATTGAATTAAAGAAGGAGATACATAAGTCTGCTCATCTTCATGCATTAAAAGTTCTTCTTTGACTTTGTCGAAAGTTAGTGGTTTAACTATTCGATATATGATAGAGATGGTAACCTCGTATCCTGGTTTCAAACTTCAGATTAAAGTTCTTGCGGCTTGATCAGAGGACATATCACCTTTAAACTTGTGATATTCTCGTAGTAAAGAAGAAAATTTATCGATGTGAACTTTCAAAGTATCAGATCGAAGTTGCGACATATTCAATAAAGCAGTTTCGACATGTTTCAATTTGGCTTCAGAGATGCTGGCATGATAGTTTTTCAGATGAGTCCATAGCACATACGGATCGTAGTTTATCGTCATTTCCTTAGTGATGGAATTTCGAGAAGTTAAAGCGTCTCTGGACCTTTCTCCGTTTACTCCATCACACTTGTTGAGAATCCAAGTGGTGATAAGGAATTTAACCTTCTTATGCTTGTCTTCAGAAAGAAATGGGTCACGATAATCCTTCACATCTAAATATGATTCATAACCTAATGATTCAATAGATTCGTGTATAAGTAAATTCCAATAGTTGAAGTTCTCGTCGGTTAATTCATTCTTAATGTTGAATTTGCTTAGAGAAGTAGTGGTTCGTTGGACAAAGATTTGTAAAGGTGTAAAGTTTGAATCAGAATTATCGGTAGACATGTTAGGAGATGTAGGTGACAGTACAGATGGAAGAATAAGGGATCTTTGGCCGGTGAAGCTCTTGACAGTTGAAGCAGTGTCAGAAGATGAATCGGACTCTCTAGTAGTTTCGGAGTCGGTGTTGGAAATGGTTGGATCCTCTTCAGATTGCATAGACAGGATAAGTCGTCGGAGTTGGAGTTTGATAGTATTATCAGACTCTCGCTACCATGTGAAGTGAGAACACGCAGGTTCAAGATTGAAAGCTTTCGAAGTTGAGGCTTAGCCTTATATATAAAAGGGATCACCTGGGGAAATCAGGTGTCGTATAAGTACTACGGCACAAGCCTGATAAGCTTCGAAAGAGCTTCTAAAATGAAAACACACCTGGGGAAATCAGGTGTCGTATAAGTACTACGGCACAAGCCTGATAAGCTTCAAAAGAGCTTCTAAAATGAAAACACACCTGTGCGTAAAAGCAACAGGATAAAGTAGAACAGTATTGAGTCGGAAGATGTAAGTAAAAGAATAAAGCAAGTTTCTTTCCGATGATTAACAACTAACCTGGGGAAATCAGGTGTTGTATAAGTACTACGGCACAAGCCTGATAAGCTTCGAAAGAGCTTCTAAAATGAAAACACACCTAATCACGCACAATAGGTTAGTGTAGGAAAAAGAAGAAAAAGAGAAAGACTTGAGACAAACCTGAGCGTAAAAGCAACAGGATAAAGTGGAACAGTATCAAGTCGGAAGATGTAAGTAAAAGAATAAAGCACTAGAATAGAGATAAAAATAGATGAGACTCTTTAACGTAGATAAGTTGATGAAGAAGAGAAAAAGACTTACAGTTTCTTTCCGATGAGGAAAGAAACTGGAAGGTACAATAAAGATCTATATATAAGAAAGACATGATAATCTTATCCACAGTCATACATATAAGTCACGCAGGCCACACTCGGCCTATTCCCAAAAGAAAGAAAAACACCCAAATTACACACAGACCAATCTACCAACTCGAACTCATAACTTATCAATCAGGAAATAGAAATCAACTTGATCTTCTTTAACGACTGAAGTTCTTGACCCGTCAAGTAAATTTCATCTTGAATAGAACATTCCAGCCTACGCACCAGCACCCACAATTTCTCGAACACACACACACACCGTGGTAGGAATAAGAATACCACGACAGAAGAGCGCCAGGGAGTGATCGCATGACATGTTTGTTCAAGGAATCAACCGTAGCATTTAGTGGAGTAATGAGACATCGGGAGGCGTATAACTCGGTCAGGCCAGTCCAATCTTGGCATCGAATTAGATGGTTTACCCCGCCGTACTCGGTATCTAAAAGTTCTTGATCAAATGCGGTCGGGTTACGTGTGACAGACACATTGCAGTGTCTCAAGGGAATAGAAGCTGTGTATGCCTCTTGTAGATTGCCTGATCCCAGATCAAGCAACCATTTTGCAAAGTTGACGTTGTTGGGATCAGGCTGAGCTCTTCCAATTCCAAGACGAATGTTAACGGTGAGTGCAAACTTTTCCATTTTATCCCATAGATACGATGCTTTGAGGGTTGCTTTCGCTTGTTCCATCAGAGTCGAGCGCCTCACTATTGGCAAGGTTTGTCGGAAGTCGCCCGCAAAAAGGATGATCTTGCCTCCGAAGGGCAAATCAATATCGGTAAGCATCCTGAGGGTTCGGTCGACCGCTTCAATGGCATGTCGGTGTTGCATCGCCACCTCATCCCATACAATAAAACGGACTGATTGCAAGGTACGTCCAATATTATCACGCACTGATACTGAACCAAAGGAATCGTCATATACCGGGATCGGTATCTTGAAAGCACTATGTGCTGTTCGTCCCCTTAGAAGCAATAAGGAAGCAATACCTGCTGCTGAGACCGCTTGGAATGCTACATCGTTCGCATTACAATAGTGCAGGATGCAATTAAGAACAAAAGTTTTACCTGTTCCTCCAGGTCCGTCCAGAAAAGCCAAATATGGCTGATTTTCTTCAATAGCGCTGCATATGTTATGAACTACAGCACGTTGTTCGTTTGTTAACACCACCAACATTGCCATGTGTTTGCGTTGACTTTCTTCTGGAGCAACAGTATTTGTACGATCAGTCCTAGCATGATCTGGTAGACTGAGTTCAAAGATCAATGCTTGGTCAACAGGTCTTAGTCCGACTTGTTCCAATGTTGAATCCATTCCAACTATGCACTTTTCTAGGAGGTAGAGGGCGTAGTTATGAACTTGATCTTCGGTTGGTTCTATGAGGGGATTAAGTCTTTTGATTTGATGTTTGCAATCATCGGAGAGATCGTCTATGTGATGGTCCCATAAACTGATTGGATTTGCGGGTGAACTATGGCATAAGATTATTGCTAACATATGTCTCAATTGCCTTCCTGTTTTCCAGGTGGCCGCTTCCGTGAGAGATTCATGATAGTTTCGATCGTCCACTAACAGTCCCAACTTGTCTGCAGCTTCGCGAAACGTATTGTAAAGAACACCATCAACTGTTCGGAGATGAGCAAACGATGTTGGTCCTGGCACATGTGTCAATAAAAGTCGCAAATAATAAACATCCCCACGTCTAACATTGGCGAAATAGACTCGGCCTATTGATATGACTTTGTTTTTACGGGGTGTAAACTTTCTTGTTTTGTCGTTCCAGGTGAAATGTTTGGGGATTTCTTGATACCTCAAGGACCGAACTGTTTGGGTTTCCGATTTCGGAAGTTTGGTGTTCTCGCTACACAGCCTGAAGAATTTGGTAAGTGTCGTCCTTTCTGCTCGGCCCGTCTCGACTGCTCTACGCAAACCGTGCTCGTCAAGGAAATATATTATCTGGCCATCTTGCAAATGGAGACTGAGACGTTGAATTGCAGGGAATCTCCCTGATATTTCATACATGAGTAAACACCAGATAGCTATCATAAATATCAGTATAAAATTTCAAAAGATCAAGCAGAGGATGGAACTCACCTTCTGGTGCACTGAGGTAGCGTGCATTAATCAGGTGCTTTTCTTTTATCAAATCACTTATATTTTTTCTGGTGCCTTATCTTGCTTGTGTTCCCGAAGCCCGCGGTGGTACTCTGAATTCCATTATCCGGAAGCAGTGTGAACCACAGGTGTGATTAGGCCGAGAGACCCGAACGAGTGACAGTCCCGACAGACCTGTCACAAGAGTTCGGGACTCTGGAAATTGAGAAGAGAGAAACAGAGTTTTTTCCTCTCTCTCAGCCAATTCCAGATCTCTCCTAATCCGCACCTGTAGTGTTCTCACAAGTCTATTCTAAAACAATTTAGTTTTAAAAGCAAGATTGCATTACATCCCAGATATAGACGATACATTCAACTAAAGAACACCTCCTTAACTTCTGCCCAACTGAAGCAGACACCCCAAAGCTAAAAACATCATTAAATGTGGAGACAAATCAAACCGAAGAAAACACCAGAAGTCTCGACGTCACAAAGAATGATTCAAGCCATCAGGAAAGCAGAAGAGGAGAAAAGGGAGAAAGCAAGAATAGAATTAGAACAAGCGGAGAAGAGAAGGAAAAGAGCTGAATCAAGAGGCCCGAGAATTCTAGCGGCATCAACGTCAAGAGGACCAACCCTAGACCAACACAGTCTAGAACCTCCTATCCAACAAACGGAAGAAGACCGGAGAGAAGACGTCACTGGCAACCAGCCCCAGAGGATTGAACAGCCGGCTCACCTCGAAATCTCAGACGATTCGGAAGGAGACGCTAGAGAGGAACAATCAGAATCAAACGATTCCGAGACAGAAGAGGACACCTCGGAGAAATAAGGAGAAAGACAGAAGAAGAAGAAAAAGGAACTTACGAAGAAGGGTAAAGAAAGGAAATTGTCAAGCTCGGAATCTTCAGCCAAAAAAGAGAGGGAGGAGAAGAAAGAAAGGAGGAAACTGTATGGATCCCTAATCGAGAGAGACCAAAGTAAGCATCAATTTCTGATAGTAAACAAGGAGGCAGACACGGAACACACGTTGTAGAAGCTGTTTCGACGCTCCAAGAATCCAGTGGCCTGAAGGGTTTCCTGCTCTTAACGAAAACGTAACCAGTGACAAGCTCCAGTAAGAAAAACTGTCGTAGCTCCTGGAATAGACCACTTCAACAGAAGAGCTCCAGTTCCTGAACTGTAGTAGCTAGAAGGTCTAACAGCTCCGAGTCAAATGTAGATGCAACAGCTCCTAATATCCATCAGAGATGCTAAAGCTCCATTGAACTTTCGTGACGCTAAGAGATCAGAAATTTCCTTCGTGAAACTAAAGAAATTGGCCAAGTAATAAGAAACTGATGCCGGTAAACTTATTTACTTGTGACGCACCAGGAAACCAGCAGTTGTCAGAACCTAAGAAACAACACAGGCCTGGCACGGCCCATCTGGAAAAATCGAGATCTTTAACGGACAGACTCGTCAACGCTATAGAATCAAATGACATACAGTCAGTGAGAAGCATCAGGATGGAGATAGACTCTTTTGAGAGAGAAGCAGAGAAGTCAAAGAAAAAAGGAGGTGAAAAAGAAAAAGAAAGATAGATCAAAGAAGCAAGAGAGAAAACGTGGGAAGAAGAATTCAAAAAAGTCCGGAAAGAAACGGAATTCCTCACCTCCCTCTTCATCGGAAGATTCATCCAGTTCCTCTTCATCCTCACCACAATCCTCCTCTGAAGCCGACACATCCTCCAGAAATTCTTCCTCTCGCCGACAATCTGACTCAGAACATCGCCAAACTGATTCAGAAGATGACTCTGACTCATCTGAAGAAGAAACATCAAAATCCTTCAAACCCCTAGTATTTGCAAGGAAACCTCTCTCAGGGTTTGACCTACCAGATCTACCCATCCAATGGGAGAAAAACTTTCAACGCATGAAGTACTATGTACCCATAACCGTCTTCGACACGTCATACATCGACCTATACAAGTCCACTGGGAAGACCAAGGCAGGGAAAACCTCGTGGGACGGCCACCTTACGTCGAGGGAACAACTAGAACGTCAAATGACTTATGGTGAATTCATTCTTGCATGCGACCTCGAATATTGATACGCGAAAGAACAATACAAATACGGAGATTATGCTAAATACGTCGAACAACATAAGGAACTGGTCAGTATGCTAGCTAGGAAGCACAAGAACTGGATGGTAGCACTCCGATACCACTTGGCGATCAGAGCGGTCACCTTCAGAGTACGAACAGACACGCCGTATGAAAAATCAAAGAAAGGAAAAAGCAAGAAAAGAAAATCAGATGTGGTGATCTTACCTGACGGTTTACAGGAAGAAGCAGAAAGAGAAGCGAAGTGGGACGCTCAAACAGCGGGAGACCTGAAATTCAAAGGTAACCCTTACGCCCCAGGCCAGCCGAAATTTGGATTTGATTTCATGACGGGAGAAGCAAAGGAATCAACAAGCTACTCTCGACCGAAGAAGGCCCAAATGGGCGACTCACCGGATGAAGGAGAGAAGAAAGGCAACTGGAGACAGAACAAACGGAAGAGAGCGGGTAACAGAGGGCACAGCTCCCCATACTCAAAGCCCAACCCCAGTTACCCCACCTCCAGCTACCCCAACCAACCGACCACCCAGTACCAGAAAAAGGAGAGTAACGGAGGGAAGGAATGGGTCGCGATGGGCCAACAACACGCTAACAACGTGGCGTCGGGTTCCAGTAGAGGAGGAAAGAAGGACCAAAAGGGTACAGGTGGAGCAGAACGGTAAGCGCTTGCACCATTACCAAGGAGAAGGATTGTACTAACATTGTTTTTGACGATGGTGACACGGGGACAATCGTGTGATGGGTAATGGGAATGGGGAATTGATGGAACGGAATGGCTTGACTGGTATGACCTAATTCATTGTAGCTGAATAGTCGTGAAAAAGATTGATTCTGAAATGAAATGAAAACAAATGCAGAAACCTAAGTGCCGTCAGAGTGAACTGCAGAACCTTCCGTGACACACCAGCACTAGAGAGAGCGAACGCAGCCCCTCCAACAACAGGAGCTGGTGAACACACACACCAGGATAATAATCCACGTAGCTCAGATTCAGACGAGTCAGACGGGTTGTCCGAAGAATCAGAAGAGGAAGTGTCGGCGGAAATCTTGCCCCTAAACAAAAGGAAGACTTACAAAGTCAAAGTAGCCACCACCTGGCCCTCTCCAGTAAAGTCAGACATGAACATCCCAGAATGGGAAATCTTGATGAAAGAAGCAGGTTTAGACAATGACATCCCATACATCATAGGAGGCTTCAAAGACGGTTTCGGCTTGGGTATCCCTCAACACGAGATTGAAGGGTTAAGGTGGTACACACCTGACAACCACGGATCCGCACTCTACGTAAAAGATCAGATCATCAACACGCTAGAAAAAGAAGCCAGAGCGGGCAGAATCATCGGGCCTTTCACTCACGAGCAAGTCTTCGAAAAATACGGTTTCTTCAGAACCAATCCGATGGGGAGCTCCATCAACGGAGACGGCTCGGTCAGGATGATCAACGATCTATCCCATCCAAAAAAGAAGAAACCAAGGAGGGGTCGGAAGAAATTGACGAGACCGGAAAGAGAAGAACCAGAATTAGTCCCGTCGGTAAACTCGTTTGTAGACAAGAAGAACTACAGTACGAACTGGGACAACTTCAAAAAAGTGGCAAAGTTCTTCAAGTCAAACCCAGGAATTTGGCTGATGGCTCTATTCGACTGGGAGAAGGCTTACCGCCAACTCCTTACACACCCATCGCAGAGACGATACTTATGCATCAAAGACTTCAAAGGCCGCATATGGATCGACCTAGCGGTCGGTTTCGGGGGTGTCGCAAGTTGTGGGGTATTTGGAGCACCGGCGGAAACCTGGAAAACGATAATGATCAAAATGTTACGCATCCCCATGATTTTCAGATGGGTCGATGATAACTTGATATTCAAACGACCGGGGGACACAGTAACACTGGAAGAAGTGACCCACCTATCCAACGGTCTTGGAGTAAAAACGAACCGAGCAAAGAACCATGATTTCTCGATCGAACAAAAATTCCTCGGATTTATCTGGAATGGCGAAGACCATACCGTCAGACTCCCACAAGAGAAGTTATCAGAGCGACTGTCACAAGTGAAAGAGTACTTACTAACAACGAACCAATGGAAATTCAACCAAGTGGAACGATTCGTAGGTAGACTAAGTCACACAGTATGCATAGTGCCACACATGGCAGCGTTCCTCTGCTCCATTTATAGGTGGCTCAAGACCTGGCACAACCTGGACGCAAAACAATACGCCCCAGAAGATGTGTTAGAGGACCTGACAGAATGGAAGATCTGTCTCGAAACGTTCGAAGCATGTAGATTAGTTACAGACCCAACCCCAGAGGAAGTGGGATGGGTAGGTGACGCTTCGTCCAACTTCGGGTGAGTGGATAGAAGACAAATCACTTAATCATTGAAACTCACGTAGCTCTGTAAACCTAGAATCGGGGTCTTGATAGGAGCCCACTGGGCGTGTTTCGAATGGGATGAAGAATGGTTGACCAAGGGTCTCACGAAAGGAAAACGAAACATCGCGTGGGCGGAAACGGTAACCATCCGCCTCGGCCTGTTAGTACTAGAAAAAGTGATACCCATCAGGGGCAGAACCTTCTGGGTGGAAACAGACAACACCACTACAGAGTACGCGATAAAAAACAGGAAGTCAAAGGATGAGCGAGTTAACAATGAATGGAAAGAAATACAAAGACTACTGACCAGACTAGGCTGTAACATAAAGCAGCGACGTGTCACATCGAAGAATAACCTAGCCGACGATCTGTCGAGGGGAATCTTCGAAGGGAGAGTGTGGAGCGACAAAGTCACTATCGAGATCCCCCAAGATCTGAAAGACCTCCTCTCGCAGACCTCCATCCCAATCCCATCTAGTCCAGAAGTCGATGCCTAGAAAGAAAACGGACCCGAAAACGAAACTGGAAACGGTGGAAGGCAAATCAGATGAGAGACTCCGTAAAGCGACGAAGCCGTTCGGATCCTTCAAAAGCAACGCGGCGGGAGTAGATAGCTCAAAAGTGGATGAAGTACAGAAGCACTTCCTAAGAGGAGCATGGATGGAAGGCACCTTAAAGCACTATAACTCAGCAGTCGTGAAACTCAGACGATTCGCCACCGTGAAGAAAATCGAGCCAACGAACCTGTTACCCATCTCATCTGATCTAATCTTGCAATTCGTTGTCTGGCTATCAAGGAAAGGAGAAGAATTAGCAAAGAACGACGAGTCAGTGAAATCCTCAACGATAAAAACGTACCTGGCAGGAGTCAAAGCCTGGCATATCTTCCACAATGAAGAATTCCCACACAAGGCTGAACCATTGATCAAACGCCTCATCAAGGCAACAAAGATTGTAGAGGCACGTCACAGGGAGATCGAGAAGAAGCGGCCCCCGATCCTAATCTCAGACCTAGTCCTCCTCGCCAACAAAGGAGACATGTCAAACAAACAAGACATGGTGGCAGCGATCGTAGCGTTGGTCGCATTCTGGGGTACTGCAAGACTCGGAGAGCTCGTGTCAGAAGACCCCAAGAAGTTACTTCCGACCTGGGAGGACGTAGAATGGGGGCCAGATGGATCGTATGTCAGAATAGCTTTGTTGGAAGCAAAAACTGCTAAACCAGGCGAGGTCCAGTACATACACCTACAAGACCAAAAATCCTGCCTAGACCCGGTACGAGCCCTACGAATGCTTTACGACCTGAGACCCCGTCAACCAACCGACCAAATCTTTGCCATGAACCGAGGAGAAG